TTGGGGAGCATTAAGTTTATACATATATCAGTGTTAATTTGTACTACTATTAATAAAGTATCAATGACATACAGGCAATGCTGATATGTTAATCAAAGAATAAACAACCAATATATATCTAGTAGTTTGTTTGGAAAGTGTCAGGCAAGTTAAAGTCTTACTGAAGTGTGAAATTCAATGTGGTTTGCATTGTCTGTTGACTGAGGATCAGTCCATCCCAGTTAAAATACTGTTTAGTTGAAGTTAAAAAGCATGGAAACATCCAAATTTCTCAAACTTTCATATTTTGGTAGGAAATTGATGCTATGTGCAAATAAAACCAAATAAAGCTGAATATCACATGCATTATTTTTTTTTCTTTTGGAGTGTATAGCTTCTACTGACTGTCTTTACTGACGAAAAGAAGTGGATGCTTCTTTAAATGTCTGATAGTTTTCAAAATCTATCCAGTTGCTTGAGTAACAGTTCTCTGCTGAATATGCATCTCACCACCTGCATGTTTAACCTCCATCAAATGTCAGATGTACTTATAGCTAAATCTGATTACATTTTACAAAAAAAAGGATGTAGGCAACCTCAAAAAATGTTAATTTCAATACAGACAAAACTGTCACTGATGCCACTATGTAGGTTTAACCTTAAAGTTTGTAACATGTCAACCTTTCGAATGTATGTTTGGAAATACAAACTTACCAGTTCAACGTCTTGGTCTTCTTCTGTGCTTTGTCTCAAATGTTCTCTGTGTCTTCAAGTCGTTTGCTAAGCCCTTATTTGGTCTGCATTGGATAGGAGTCGCCGGTCATCACAGGTTTCTCCCAGTCAGTGCAGGAATGCCAGGACATACCTACATTTAATAAGGATAATTAGTGTGATGCAAAATCTCATCAAATGATAGATAAGAAACTTGAACAATTGAACTATCCCTTTGCTTATGAATAAATCTGATGTAGAAAAATGAAAAATGCCGTAACATTGATAAAAAATCCAGACTGTTATTTCTTTAAAGTTACAATGACTGTAATTTTGACATATTAGCAACAGAAAGAAGTTACCAAGTACTCTGATATACAGATATAACAAGTTACACACTTTCCTCAAATACAGCAAGCAAGTGGAATTTGCAAAATGCAGAATTAAGATTTTTCTCACCTGATATTCTTCTAGGGTCTTCTGGGGTCACCTGGTCTGGTCCAATCCAGTCTTGTCAGGTTCAGACAGGAATCATCACTACTGCATCAGTCAGCAGCCACCTAACTATGTAGAGATACCAAGTTACACACTTGTCTCAAATAATCAAGTAAATGGTACACAAAATGCAGAGTTCCAATTTTCCTCACCTGGCCTGATACTCCTGTATCCGATCACCTGGTGCCTCTGCCATCACAAGTCTGATCTCATCTGGACAGGAACACTTGCAGAGCTGGCAAACCCTCAGCACACAGCTAACTACAGAATCACATGAAAACAAGGTCAAGTTACAAGGTGTTATCAGCCGTAATACACAGAAAATAAAAAGCTGAACAACAACTTACTAGTAGGCCAGAAACTTTTGATGCCATTCTTGAAGAGCTTAAAAGTCATGTTTAAAACATACAGCTAACACTCAATCACCTAACTATATAAAGAATAATTAATTTAGGGTATTGATGAGAAAAATTGTACCCAGGAGGAGACTTGTCATATAACAACTTTTAAGACTTGCTATGCATTTGTAGACACTCAAGGGTACTCTGTACAGTTGGTTTAATTTAACACAATGTCATATATGTGAATATTCTACACTAACTTCACACGTTACGTTAAATAAAATTTAGAGGTTTATTTTTGGTTTCATAAACTTGAGAATGTTTTATGTTTAACTAGTTGTTTCTACAATTAAACAAAAAACAAATCAGGTGCATGTAACAACATTATAGAATTCCTATCCAATAGTCAATACCTAAAATTCTTGAAGCTTAAAATACAGACTTTAGGGTAAAAAATGAGGATTTTGGGGGTTGACACAGAACCTGAATGTTACATGTTTTTCAATCAGGAAAAAAGGCTGGCAAATCCATGAAACAACAAGTTAATTAAAGTGGTGTTTCTTTGTCATTTTATCCCAGTCTGAAATACCTAGCCAAATGAAGAGAAATGTTGCATGCATATCGATAGGCAAAATTTCCAGTGTTTTCCATGAGGGAAATCCCCACAAATATTCTACCCATGTTTCCTTTCCGTTTCACAGACAAGGGGCAAAATTATCAGACCAGGGATACAGAATATACCGAAACGTATTTGCTATCCCTTTTTTCGGAAATAAATAACAATTTCTACGGCACGGCTTGTTGCCTTACCTTGTGAAAACTCAGCCCTCCCCACGACCACGCCGCCTTCCTTCGGGCGCCATTTTCTCGTCTTCTCCAAAATCCACCACGTCAGGAAATCCGCAATTTCTTCGCCCAAAATCCAGAAAACGGCACAACTCCGCCGTAGAAACATCCCCGAAGATTTCGTCTACTAGTCAGAATGAATATTTTTCGAACTGGAAGCCGAAAATTTACCCAAAACGTGACAAATAATTCCTGGTCTTCCCCGCGTGGCTCCGACAGACGCAGACTGAGTGGACCGTACCACTGTGACTTTTACACAGCTGTGTACAACAGCCGGTCTAATTTACCCTGATAACCACAACTACTTTACCGCCAAAATCAATCCCCACAGAAAAATAATGGCTCTCTGCCCAAGATTTCGGACTAGTTTGTGTCAAAATAACACACAGGCAGTGTCAGCAGCAATAAGTATTCAATTTGGGCAAAGTATGGTAGCCGGAATCTGCTAATTCAATCAGCCTCGGCACCACATGTTTCTATGCAAACGGTACCTGTCCTTGGTGCTGAACGCCATCCTCATAGTAAAACACACAGTATGTATGGTGAAAACCACGCGCGCGCTCGCTTTTTGAGCGTCTGTAAAGTAGAGGGACTTGTTAACGCTGGCCAAGCCTTTCAGAAAAATTGCATGCATTTGAAGAAGGTAGGAGTGGAACTGTCAACGGTCTACGATAAATTCACAATGGCAGCGGCTACATGTTACGTTACATTCGGGCAAGCTGATTCCGCCTACATGAGAATCCAGGCACTAATATAGCTAATTTTACGCTTTTCATAGACTGCACCGATTACAAACGCTATATGCTATTGTATATGAACAATTTAGTCGTCTGGCTACGAAATATCTGATATCAGAACGGCCGATTACGCCCCAGGTTTGCAGGCATTCTTCCCAACAAGTTTACGTGCAAACGGTGCCTGTCCTTGGTGCTGAACGCCATCCGCACAATGTTAAACACATAGTGCGGTGGACACTACACGCGCACTCGCTTTTTCAGCGTCCATGAAATACAGGAACTTGTAAAAAATTTGACAAACCCTACGAAAAAAATAGGTATGCTTTTTGAGGGGATTAGAGGTCGTATTTTAAACGCTCTACTCCAAATTCACAATGGCTGCAGCTAACGTTATA